AGGTCAAAAGACAACGAAAATATATTCAGATTTGCATTTCCTAGATTACAAATTGTGGAATTAACTAATTTTCGAAAGAATTTTTTCTGCATATTATTACTTCGTGCAATAACTTACTATTTTTATTAGACCCCTCTTAAAATTTTGGGATATCTATAAATCAAAAGGTTGAAAATGTCAGAAATTCCATGATGAGCGAATATGACGTCATCGTAAGGTCTTTTGGCACATGATCTAAATGCTGATTTTTATATGGTTAACAACAAATTTTCATTCTTTTTTAACCAAAAATTATTTGGAGTATAATCTCATAAAATTTGGAGGTCAGATCAGGTTTACTTTAGTTTCTTTTACACCCTACTCTCTATTTAACAGTATTTTGCCAATTTTAAAAATAGTCTACATCCAAAACTATTATTACCAATATTATAAATTTCAGGGGCTCGGGTACATCTTTTAAATATGAACTGCATGTAGCAATCAACCTGTAATATATACGTTCAACTAAGATTATCCTGTACTTTCGACTTCTATCCAATTCACCCTATATTTTTCTTCTTCTTCCTAATTCTACCTAAATTATAAAAATTCTATTCAATTGACCAAATTAAATTAATCTCTGAAATCGCGATTTAAAATCAATAATTCGCATTCACTATTTCGCGATTTGAGTACACCCGAGTTTAAAATTTTCTTAACAACATGTCAACAACACATTGAAAAGCTTAGCCGAGTCAAGGTTTTAAACTCGGATATACTCAAATCGTGAAATAATGAACGCGTATTATTGATTTTAAATCGCAATTTTAGAGAATTATTGAATTTGGTTAATTGGATAGAATTTTATAGATTGGGTGGAATTAGAAAGAAGTAAAAGAGTATAGGGTAAATTGGGTAGAGGTCAAAAGTAGAGGGTGATTCTAGTTGAACGCATATATTACAGGTAGATTGCTACATGCAGCCCTTTAAATACCTATATATAGTGTTGTTAGAGAATTCTTTGTACCAAGAAAAATACTACAAAAAGTATACATATAAACATATACGCTAGGAGTAAATAAAAGGGAATCTATACAAAGTAACCATGGATTCAAAAAGAATATACAAACCAACCATAAGTTACAGTAACTTGTCGGTAACATGTCGGAATGCATGTGTAATTACGTAAATGTCCTTTGTAACACGCTTTTTCGAATTATATGTGATAGCATAATATATCTTTTTTTATCATGTATTTTTCTCGTATTACATGTTATTTTTAAAGAACACATGGTATTTCTCGGAAAAATATTCTATTCAGTTTAATATCTCTTTTTATCATGTTATTTTGTAATAATACACGTGTTTTATTAAGATCACATGTGATTTCTTTTTAAAAAAGATGATTAATTATTTTTTAGTAATACACAGTTTTTGTTAAGATTACATGTGATTTCATTTTAAAAAATTCTATTCAGATTAAATTTTCCATAACAATGTTTTTTCTTAAAAAAAAATACTAAGTAACAATTTTTTTTCTTAAAAATTCACTATGCTTTTTGAAATATCATGTCTTTTAGTTAAATATAACATGTGAAATTTAAATGTTACATGTTATTTTGAAAAATCTCACGAAACTGTCTTGCATATTATTGATCTCGCAACAAACAAAAGATAGTTTTAGTATTTCACTTTATCAGACAACGTGGGACCATGGCTATTTTGCAACAAAAAACTTTCTCTCTCTGCTATTTTCTTAATTTCAGTGTTTTATTTGGCTATTCAATAATATTACCCTAAATATAAATATTGTCTTCACGAACTTTTTTCCAAGAGACCAGGCCATTGTCAGAAGGATTAAGCCGGCCACTTCGTCTCAGGATTTCATGGTCTGGTTACACAATAGATGTGGGGAGTACTCTGTACGCTCTGGCTATTGGTTAGCTTCGCAGAGCCATAACATCGACCTCCAGTTTGAGGTTGCAGCATTACCCTCACTCAATCCCATAAAGGATAAAATATGGGATGTTTTGGCTCCCTCCAAGATTAAAATGTTTTTATGGAAAGCTGTCAGTGGTGCTTTACCTGTTGTTGAGAGGCTTTTGACAAGAGGTGTCAGGATTGATCAGCGTTGCAGTGCTTGTGGTTTTGAAGGAGAATCAATTAACCACTTGTTGTTCCTCTGGCCAGACAAATTTGGGCTATCTCCAACATTCTTTCTCCGGTTAATGGTTTTGCTGATCATTCCTTGTTATATATTATTCATTATGTTCTTCTAATGGCCAAGAACTTAATGTTACCTATTGAATCTAGAAGATCTATTCCCTGGATTATTTGGAAACTTTGGAAGAATAGGAACAATCTCCTCTTTGAAGGGAAAACCTTCCATCCTTTGGATATGGTTAACAAGGTTTTGGATGACTCTGAGCAGTGGTTCTTGGCTCAAAAAGTTGAGCAAGAGGAAGCGTTTAAGTCTGATAAGGTAATGGCAGGGAGACGCAAACCTTGGAAGCCTCCTGACAATCCGTGGCTCAAATGTAACCTTGCTTCATCTTGGGATAAGTTTAACAGGGTTGGTGGTGCTGCCTGGGTGCTCAGAAACTCTAGAGGTGATGTCTTGCTCCATAGTAGACGGTCCTTCAGTGGGATGGAATCAAAACAGGTTTTTGAATTTGAATGCTGGTTGTGGGCTCTGGAAAGTATTAGGAGTCTAAAGATAAGAAGATTTGTGCTGGCAGCTAAAGAGAAATATCTTATGGATGTGGTTTTACGTCCTACAGCTTGGCCCTCTTTTAAGTCCCAGTCGGAGTCTCTGTTATTGGCTTTCAGTCACATTCCCTATTGGAGAATTCAGCTTGAGGAGAGAAGAGCTAACAAAGGAGCCTTGCTTATTGCTCAGAGTGTGACAAGAGAGGATCGATGACAATCATACGTAGGTACGGGCTACCCTTTTTGATTACATGACTTGTTCAATAAAGAGATGTCTGTCTACTACTTAATTGTGGTACTTTTTGTATTCTCTTCGGTGTAGGTGATTGTTGTGGATCCCCTATTTTTTGGGTTCGTTTGTATTCAGTCATTTCCAAATTATCAATATATTGAATCATTCAGTCGAAAAAAAAAAAAATACTCGTTCATGCATGCATAACATAAGTCAATAGTTAGCATTGCTCAACTTATAAACTAAATATTAGGATCACATGAACTACTTTGGGATATGTTTAGATGCGACAAAGAGACTGTGACATGATAACACTCGATTTTAGCCGTACGATGTGCTTGTCCACTATTTCCCAACAAAGCTTAAGCCCTCCATTCCTCCACGGCTCCACCATTGATTTGGAAACGGCGACGTTCTGCGCAAATCGCAAAATCATTCATCAATCCGCAATAGTGATAAATGATAATGCAACAAATACCTGTCCTTATTTTTTTATACAACAAATCAACTATCTGGTTCATATTCCGACCTAACAATCCTGATTAGTGATTACCATCTGGTTTGGGTATGATTATTAACACTCTTCGAAGAAGCTGATTCATTATCTTATCAAACTAAATAAGAGAATCGGCTTGTACGACGAACTACTCTTTTCAATCTCATCTTTCGGCTTTGGGCTTCCAACTTTTACATTATCTTGAATTGGGCTTGAAATTTGAGTTCCAATGTATGTTTAATTATGCTTAAAATCAAAATTTGGGCCATAAGCACCCTTGTAATCTTTTGATGCAACTAACTAGAAAACTAATTGGGTAAAAAAATGAAATATATTAATGAAAAATTGGAGCCCATAATCTCATAAAACTGTGTGGATCAGATCAGGTTAAATTAGTATCTTTTACGTTATTTAGCAGTATCTACCTACTAGATTTTAACCCGCGGTACACCGCGGGACTATATTTTCTTAAGAAAATCAAAATGTAATTTGTTTGATAGATTATTTTGATTGTTAATTTTAGGATTTCACCCGTGGTATACTATCTTTTATAAATATCAACCCAAACCCATCCCATCATATTACCCGTCCCGTGAAATTAAACATCATTTAGTTATTTTTCTTTTTAATAATACTTTTATTTAAAAGCTATATAATTCAAGTCAATTTAAAAATTTCTTTTAAATGGTTCCCGTAAGATATATATACATATATATTAAATTTGTATAGAGTTGAAATAATATTAATATTAAAAACTTTTTATATAATTTAAATATTATAAATATTTTTAAAAATATGCAATATATATTTTTTGTTATTGAATAAGAGGATATTATGTGTAAGAAATGTAGAAAATAAGAGTTTAATATTTTTATTATAGAATCGCAAGAAAAATCTTTTATTTCTATACATGTTATTCGTTTATTAATAATAAAAGAAAACAAATCCTTTAAATTAGATATTAACTAAAATAAACGCACCATAATTACTTATTAAGTAACAACCAATAAATTTCACCAAAAAATAGGTAACAACCAATAAATTCTAAACGCAGTAATTAAAGAATGAGATATTAAAAAAAAATATCAAATAAGATATAAGAATCTTAAAATAATTGAATATCTAAATAATTTAATTGTTAGTGTCGATTTTAATGCCTTCATTAATGTGGATTTTTTTTTTAGAGAGAAATATTTCCTAAAGATTATCACATTAATGACTCAGAAAATTAAGGAAGATATGAATTTATGATTCTCGAAATCGTGTTGGTAATATCTTTAATTAATATTTTTCAAATTTAAATAATTAATGCCAATGGCATTCATCCGTAAATACATTCCAACTCCAGGATTTATTTGCTAAAAGTCATCCAAAAATGTATATATAGATGAAAAGTACTCTATATATATGATAGACAAATTATAAACGTCAGGGTGTAAATTTTTCTTTTTTAATACCTACTGTTCTGTTGTTAGAGAATTATTTGACCCCAACAAAAAATAGAAATGAAATTTAGATTAGACGTTAAGAAAACGTATAAATGTAAATATTCGTTCATGCATAACAGACAATGCAAACATTTTTTTGAATGAAATATTAAATTTATTCAACCCAAAAAAATCAATTTTTACATTATATGCATCTTTGAGTAGATCTTAGAGCTGAAAATAAACGCAGTCCATCTTCAAGATTCGAGTTACCATGACTCTTGATGGAGCATAACCTGTTACGGACAACACGATGAATGAACTGACAATGCAAACTTACTAATCAAATATCAGCATCACACGAACTATTTTGGGATTGGTTTGGCTGCGACAAAGAGACCGTGACATGAGAACACTCAATCTTAGCCGTACGATGTGATGACTTCCATATCCCCACTTTAAACCTAACCCTGGCCTTAACAAAAACTTCAAACTCAATCTTTCCCAACGAAGTTTGAGACCTCAAATCCTTACCATTGGATTTGGAAAAGGCAACGTTTTGCGCAACCAACGTTTCATCAATCTGCTTAACGTTCATCCGCGGTTGGTGAAACGGCTCCATCGTGTCGAACGCAAGTGTCTGGTCCTTGAATTTAACGAATATCTCGACGGAACTGTAGTAAACCGAGATTCTGTGGTTAGGGTTGTGCGATTGTATGGTGAATTTGAATGTAGCTGACATGTGATTGTCGTTGGTAAGGTTAAAGTTTCTAACCGAGGCGCTTTCAACAGTGTAATGAAGTTTCTTGGGTTTGGTTACAAGCCAGGTAATGAGGAAACCTACAGCTGCAATGAAGATTAGAGTTAGTATGACGAGAAAAACGTAGCATACAAGGCTAGGGCGGCGCAGTGGCTGCGCTGGCGAAGTTTTCAACGGCATTGGTTCTAGGTTGAGCTTGTGGTCACACATTGGTTTATTTGTTTGTATATATAGAGTAGATACTTGTGATGCAAGATACTTGGATTCTGATGTTCTTTGCTTCAGCTCTAGAGAGATTAGTTAATTTTTATTGTCGCTTTGGAACAATTTTGTCACATTTACTTTGCTTTTAACAATTAGCATTTGTAAGACAACACTCAAACTGGCAAGTGGGACATATTATTATATTTATAAAACTAACCAATAAAAAAAAGTAATTCGGAGAATAAAGTGTAAACCATATAAAATGTTCATATAATTTTAAATGAGCTCTCTAAAAGTGTAAATGCCTATCATATCAAAAGGGTTGTAGAAAGAGAACCCGGCAACCGTAGAATTTATGTACTACTCTAAAAAAGAACTATACGATTTTGGTTTGTAAACCCATTTAAATGCTTGTTTTTTTTTCGTTGTTGGTTTGGTTGTGTGTTTTCGTGTAGAGTAAATCACCGGATATAAATAAGAGTCACTTCAGTGATTTTCTTTTAAAACTTTGATAGTACTAGATGCAGGCCCGGTCCTGTCATAAAGCAACTAAAGCACAAGCTTTAGGCCATCGAATATAAACTAAATTTCAGGGCCACATTTTTCTAAATGTTATATTGGTTCAGTGGTTATATAGTCCAAAAGTTTATTGTAGATATAGAATTTGAATCCTTCGTAGTCATAGTTCCCTCTTTTTTGGGGTAATATTTCCAGCTTCTCTCTTGAATTATCTCTGTATTCTTCTCTTCCTTCCAGTTTTTTTTATAGATTTTATTTGCTAAAGTGCTCATGCTAATCATTTTCGTAAGAACAACAGAACTAATTACTAGCGTAACTGTGAGATTCAATACCATATATAACTGTGAGATTCAATATCTATGTTTACGAATCACGATCACGAAAATGACAACAATTACATTTCTGTATATATATTTATGATTTAATCTATTATTACTCGACTATGAAAACCTAACTAATCATGAATTTGCTGAAGAAAAGATTAGAAAAGTTTATTTTTGTGAGCGGAAATAAATTAGATTGTCTTACGTTGTTAATATATTTAATGTTTTTTTTCATCAACGATATCTGATGATTTTTTAAAAAAATTCTAATGTTTTAATGTTAATTTTTTTTATCATTAGTATATAAAAAGTCCACATAGTTTAAGCATGCTTTAGGCCACATAATGTCAAGGACCGGCCCTGACTAGATGAATACAAACATATAAGTACGGGTTTTACTTTTAGTACGCAAATCAATAAATGTCAAGAAAAAATAATATACAAATTATATATATATATATATCTAATATTTGTTCACCCTAGTATAATTTTATTTTAGGTTTTTTTTGTTTTTTGTGTTGTTCATCTTTTATCTCTTAGTATAACCTTTATGGATTGTTCATCAATAGTTTTTTTTTTTTAATTTATATAACCAGGATATTCAAAACTGATATCCAAAGTTATCTATCAGATTTGATGCATCAAAGAATATAGTAGTAGATATGGTGGCCGTGAAAGAGTGGTAAGAGTAAGACACTCAAAGCATTTGGACCTTGTAATTTGAGCCCATGTCTTAGAAAATTGAGCTTTGTATTAACTGTATGACTAATTAAATTGCATCGTTCAAAACACAATGGGCCATTTCCGCGTGAGCCCATGAATAATACGAAGTCCTCGCGTGATTTTTATATAGCTTTAACCCACTTCATTATAAGATTTACGATCCTAATTCATATCTCTAATTAGAAGCCATTTACCAAACCCGAGCCCTTGAGCAACAAAGAAAAAGAGTAAATACTAAATACACGATACGTTAATTATATTACAGCCAATTTTGATTTACATATGTTTTTTTAACATATTTTTTTTTTGGTAGGCTGTTTTTTTTAACATATTACAACCAAAGAACTTTAACTAGATATGTTAAGATCTTTTTGATAAGTTGAAATCCAAGAATCAATTATTTTAACTTCTTTCTCTCTTTGCTCCACCAGCCACTCCGGGTCCTCCTTGCTCTTTAAGACAATGTCCTGACAATGAGAGCCTGCTCAATGTTCATATATTAAAAATATATATCGAATATTAGTGAGAGTTCATGTACCTTTGGATAAACGCTTAATTAAAAAATTATATCTAATAATTTACCGTCTCTTGTCGTGATGGCAATTACAGTGTCTGAGATATCCTCCAATACGCTGAAATAGTGAAATATATGAACAAATTAAACTCATAATTTTGCAAACACATTAAATATATATATATATATATATTTATATATAACTTATATTTAAAATTTTATGAATAGAATAGAGTTACCCGCCGACACTATATGGATCTAACAACCCATTGGAGAAGATTATGTTGTTGCCAAATCGTCGAAAAATTAACTTAACGTCCTACAATTGTATACATATATGTATTAACCTTAATTAAGTAGTAGCTACTTGAAATTTATTAATAAGATAGATATTGAAACTAGTTATAACACATAGAATTATAAGCACCTGAGAACCGAAGTATGCCGTGACCCAATGCGGACGAGGTGAGACACCGTACTGTGATTCGCAGTTTTTAGTAAAACTGCTCATATTGAACGGTTTCGGTTGGAACATAGTATCTTCTTTCTCATATCCTATGGGCATAACCATTTCGCTGCAACTCTGTATAATTGTAGTGTGCATTTTTAATTCATAAACTAGTTGGACGAGTTAATAAAACACAATTTTTATGTATATATTAGCTACTAGGTTGTACTAATTTTTGTGACAGAAAAATTCACCTGCCATGTCCATGCCCTGGCATCGTTTGTGATCTGATCCATACCATAACAAGAAATATTACCCCCAGAAGCAACCACACCTGCGTAGAAGAAACTTTTATGAAGCCTCATCATCATGCAGAGCTATTATCCCTCAGTAATATTTAATATACCTGCGAAGATCTGGTCTAGTAGATCACTCTTAGTGTTTGGTGGGCTGGTGTTAATAGCCTCGCACAAGCTGGCAACCGAATACGGATTGTTGTTGTATTGAGCTGTCCCGGCGTATATGTTACTCAGATAGCTTTTGAGTTCAATGGTGTCGTTCAAAGGACTAATGAATCAACATAAAAAGATAAAATTTAATTAGTAAAATATGATAGATTATATTGTTCAAATAACATACTGTATATAAAATTGGAAGAATCTTTTTACTTGCACAGCTTGAATTTTTTGCTGAGGATTGACAGACCGTTGGGTTTGGCAGCAATCCTGTCTATTTCATCCCAAGATTTACGTATCTTGTTATGACATTTCTGGCTCGTTTCCTTAAGGACCAAATGTTAGCAAAACAATATGAGTAATGCATGTTGGACAGTATAACTATTGAACTATTTTTGTTACCTTGAAAACTTTGGTTACTATATAAAAGTAACCATGTTTTGGAAGTGTGTCTTCAAAATAGAGAAGAGGGGCTGAGGATGCTAAAGCCCCGAGCGCTATGTGTGGGTATTTTAGCTTGAACCAAGCTGCCAACACTTTGTGTGCCACACCATGAAATTAAAAATAAAATCAAATAATTATTTGAAGCATAATATTTTATCATGCTAAACTGAATATCCATATAGTGAAAGAGGAATGGAACATTAGGGAAAGTCAGAAGACCAAATTTCATTCCAAAACTATTTTACATATATGTCAATTATTTTTACCAAGACTATATACCATCGTTCTGACTTCTGATTTTTTTGGTTTATAATTATATGTAAAAATATACTACATGGAATACAAACGGTTTGTATGATAGTAGACAAATAAGACGTGGTCAAACGTAAACTTACTTCCGCCATAGGATCCTCCAATAACTATTACCGGACTGTGTTTAGCTGAGTATGTCTCCTTAATGTGCAGAAGAATTGCAGCATAATCCGCAAGGGCTTGAGCAGCGTTTAAATATCCCAAGGTTTTGGCGTTCTTCAACGTTTCCTCCGCCGACCCAAATGGCATAGTTTCTCCGTAAAACCTATGCTGCAATACATTGATGAATACCGTTAAGACGCATTAATATGTACATTACCATTAGTATATATATAGGCACGCGTATACCAACCTCTATGTAGACCATGAGGGCTTTGAAATGAGGAGCGTTATCTTTGAGGAAGCCAAGAACGCTCAATTCAGAGTCCAATGAAGATTCCGCTCCAAGATAAGCTAGGATAGGTGCATTGGTTTTTCCACCTTCCCAATACTTGGAATTGACGGCATATCTTTGTCGGAACTTCTTGTAACTTCCCGGAGTGTAGGTGAAGTGGTCAAGGGTTTGTTCAAAGAAGAAAATTTCGATACCCAAGTCCGCAAATTTGTAGTGCAATTTCTCCCCATCAAATGTGTACCTTAGTTTTTTTGGGAAAACACTAAGTCGAGCTTCTTTGGAGTGTGTACAAGAGATAGTTGAGAAGATCACCAGCAGGAGGAGGATGATAGATGGAACTGGAAGTGGCATTATTTTGAGTATTGGGAAAAGACACAAACAGCAAAGGGATATTAATTCGCAATCGGTGTTGTGTTTGAAGCTTGTCGACCAAGGAACTAGAGTATGGGGGAGAATAGAATGTTTGGTTTTTGTGTGTGTTTACGTTGATGTAATGATGTCTCGCCCCTATATTTATTGTCTGTGAATATTCTCATATTTTAAAACTCCATATTCATTTGTTCTTTTGGAATTAATTAGAACCGTCCATTAGCTTCTTCCTTTTTTTTTTAGATGTCGGCTATCTAGCTTTTTCATTGCTAAAACTAGGATATGTTTATATTTCTCGTCTGTGTTAAAAAAAAAAGTAAAAAGTATATTCTCTCGTCACTCTATTAACATTTTTGTGTAAGTAACAAATTGTAGCGATAAGACAGTGACTCGAACTTTTAAAATCTCAGAATAATAATTTGAGTGTATAGATCCATGCATATCAGAATTACTGAAATTATCACTTGGAAGTATGTGATGGAAGCCGAGAATCATGGATCTACAATTTAGCTTTTGCAAGAATAATTTTTTTTAAAAAGAAATTAAATAATTTTAAATTTTAAATCAAGAATTAAACTATCTAAATTTGAATGCTGAATCAAGATGTGAATTTTATACTAGACACAAATTAACTTTAGGGCATGCTAATATTTATCTTTTTTTTTGTTCTACAAATATAAATATTTCATTAAAATGAAAAGAGTTAAGAATTACAGTGAAGTAAAAACCTATTTGGTCCAATGATAAAAAAGAATAAAAAACATGGAAACAAAAAAACAATTAGTCAATTGATATCGACAAAAAAACAAATGATGTTTTCGAAATCAATGAAGTGATAAACAATTTTGAAGATTCACTTAGATGACACCACAAGGCGGTAAAAACATGAACCATACTTAGGTTTACCCCTGGGGTGAACCTTTAAATTCACCCAACAGATTATAGCCAATCGTTTTGCCATGTCATTACTAATACTAGAGGATTAAATAAAAAACAATTAAAAAAAAAAAGAAATCAGAAAATAGATTTAGGGTTTAGGGTTTAGGGTTTAGATTTTACAATTAAAACGAAATTAGATCTCGGTTTGGGTTGCCAAATGAGTGGTTAAGGTTTAATTTTATAATAAACGAAATTAGATATCGGTTTGGGTTGACAAATGAGTGGTTAGGGTATAAATTTTACAATTAAAACGAAATTATATATCTGTTAAGGTTTGCGAAATATTTGTTAAATA